TACATGCTTCCTAATGAGTAGTCTGAACATGACTGACCTTGCGAATACTGTGACTCACAAAAAAGTACTTTATGTTGGTAAATTCTTTTTCCACAGTTTTCAATGAGAAGTATTAATTTTGCCAATGACTATGAAGGAAACCAAAGCAAAAATGAACATTAATATTAAAAAGTATTTTCTACAAAAGCTACAACAGCTTTGTCAACTAAGACTGAGCATTGTCCTCCCCCACTGTAAGCACACCAGTTAATCATGCTAGGCATTACTCAACTTCATTTGGCATCAGTAAGATTTTAGATATAATCCAAATATCAGGATAAATCTTTTCCAAAGTTGGGGAGAATCTAATTTTAATACTCTTCTTACACTTTATTCAGCATAGCCTCTTACAGCACTGGGGAGTACTTAAAAGGCTGGCTGTGTTATAAAGACTTATGTTGAGCCCACTGATGTTGACCACTTGCAGAGAGCCATACAGATAGGGAGTCTCTTCTTAAAAAAGAGAAATGGGCTTTTGCCAGAAATGAGTTATAATGAGGATATGTCACTTGTGAGGACAGGCAGTAGGAGTGACCACATAGTGGATGATTTCTCCAATCACATCCACTGCTCCTTGAAATTCTTACATAAGGGTTGCGTAAAATGTATTTGATTCGCTGCAAACAGAGCCTTTAGCTTGTACTGGGAGCAGCAGTCAAATCCATGCAAGTTGTGGTATTTATTGATCAGCTGTCCTGCATGGTGATGTTTCAGAATTCCTGCTGCTGCAGTGTTGCCTTATCTGCTTAATGAGAGCTCACAGAATTTTACCATTTGTATAGAGGCTATCGGTAATCTTATAAAGCAGTTTTGAGTGGGAGTCTTTTAGTGGGCATATCCTGATTCCAAGAAGTCAGGGAGAGCAAGACCTCATCCAGTTTGTTCTTACTAAAGTGCTCTGAAAGTTTTCTGTGGCCCATTTCATATTCTAATACAGCCACTTCATCTGTCCGTGAGCTTGAAGGCAGGCAAGTCCTATGGAAGTAGGTATCTGATACGAAAAAATAAATGCTCTAGCTTTTTAGATCTTACTAAAGATCGGGAAGTATTATTATTATTATTTTAATACCAGAAGAATGTTTCCAAAAATCAGTTACTCACAGAAGAGTTACATTCTGCCATCTATCTTTGTGCATAAGTCCCATTGGGGTCTCTCAGCAGGCTACTCCCAAAACACAGATGTTTCTGGCTCTTCATTCAGCATTTTATTGCTGCTGGATGCTTCTTGCCCTTTAGCTTTTTTGTTAATGGGAGCTTGTTAAAATACAAATGGGACTTTCTGTTAACACTACTTGTACTGTCTTCAAAGTTACCTGACATAAAAAAGTCTATGTAACTACCACTGGGTGGTGTACGCCTCTTGTACATAAAATTCTCTCAAGTAAACTATCAGAGTTTTGTATTTGTGGAACTTGAGATCTAAACCCAAAAGCCTGTATGTTTAGTTTTTAATCAAGAAGATTCCCTGGAGTTTATCAAAGAAAGAAATTCAAGGATTTGGATAATAAGAAAGTGATAGTGTATATGCATCCACATTCTTCTAAAACTTCAACTTTGAATAAGGGAATAGAGTGTATATTTATACTTTCTTTCTGAATTCCTCTAAGTTCTCGCGCTTTATTGAGAACCACCTATTTTTAAAAGCATGGAAAGGCCTTCAGTGTGTCTACTGGCATCTTAAATTAATCATAGCCAGTCATAGGAACGTAACAGTCCATACATCACCAAGTCATTTTGTTCAGATGTAAAGGAGAATGCCATTTTCTTTTCTGTGTGTAGATTTTGAAAGGATAACAATATTTCTTTTTGCTATGCTGAAGACAAGTGTTAAAATACGTCAGTAGGTTAAGACTTACGGCATTGCAACATGCTGCCTTTCCACTGACAATTTTTTATCAATCCATTGAGGATATACAAGTTGGCAATCGTGTTTGACTGTCTTTGTCTAAAGTCAGCTCTAGGTAAATCGCTGAGACTGAGTAATTGCTGACGCTGTCAGAATAAAGAGCAACTGTGGGAGAAAGAGGAGAGGAAACCATTTTTTACTTTATGCATGCCATCCAATTCAAGCTTAATCTGTTTTGCTGGGGTTTGTGGCTTCTTTTGTTGTTTTTTGTTGTTGTTGTTGTGGGTTTGTTTGGTTTTTTTTTTAACCCTTGTCTAGTTTTTAAAAAATATCAAAAAGCCGACTGTAACCCTATCATGAGCATCTTTGTAAAACTCGTGTTAAACAGCAATATGTTGTACATGTATGGAAACATCACCTGATTGTGTCTCTTTATCTTGTTTGGCAGTCCAGCAAAACTATGGAATGATAATGAAATTAAATTTTCTCCATGTCAATCAGTACCTTTATTCTTACATCTTCTGTATGGAGATACATAAGCCAGCAGTTACATGAAACACGTTGAATTATTCTTTTGAGTTAGCAAAACTTGCACTAGTGCTAGAGAGGTTCTCTCCTGCAGTAGCTATGTGAGGTGGGGGAGAAACTCAAATGTTCAAGAATGTCTGTGATTTAGGACTTAGTTACTCATAGTTACCCATAATATAGTTACCCATAAAGCAAACAAGCTCCCAAACATGGTTTGAAAGAGAGAAAGGGCTGAGTTGGCTTAAAACTCAGTAAAGTACTTTTAGAGTCTGAATCTCTTACAGGAGTTTCTACTAAATGAAATTGGTATGTGTGTGCAACATGGGAGGAAATGGATGGAAAATTGTTAAGATACCATAGAAACAATTGTTATAAAAAGAAGGAATAAAGCTGTTAACCAATTGCTGGCTCTATTTTCATTCCCCACTTCTCAGCGTAGGGTCTATTCTGGAAATTCTGTCCTGACTGAATGCTAGTAGGTGGTATGCTGATGACCATATTCTATCAAACATCACAGAAAAAGAAAAATAATATATAGATTGAATTAAACTTCATTATACAACCAGACTGTAAAAATCAGTTTGTACCCCTACTAGCCACAGACTATGCATCTGCATCCAGGCTAGCAGCTGATGTCTTCCATGAGAACACCTCCTTAGGAAAAGCCCACTGTTGATGGATTTTGGCCATCGGGACTATCCCATCTTTCATTTTATGGTAAAATAAGTCTTTTAAGCACAAATAAAGGATGCTGTGATGCTATGTATGTGGTCAAGAATGACAACCTGGGTTGAGACACTTCATACTGCAGTTTGTGCTCTATTGAAGAGCAGAGTAAATGAGTGGTTATAATCTGATACCAGTAAGCAGCTATCAGTCATTCTAGAGACTTTGTTAGCATAGGGCCTCCCTACCCCTGCTTGTAAAGGTCTGATTTATCTTTGATGGCATGGAAGAATTGGGGCAAACTTTTCACTGCTGAGTGCTTTTTGTACCTGTCAAATAGTTAGCTTTCTCCCCATTACAATTTAGAGGTATCTGAGTTAAAAGATACTAATGAAGACCCTGGTTTCTCTGGCTGAACTGACATAAGGTAGTATGTGGGGACCAAAGAAAATTGAAGAGAGTTGCAGAGTTGCTCAGTTGCTTCAATGCCTGAGCAGGTAGCAAATTATCAAGCAAGCAGGTTAGGAAATTACGTGACCCAAAATATGATAGAAAATAGTTCAAGCACTCTGGGTGTCACTTGTGCAGTGTGAGGTAGGTGAATATATCTCTTTTCCTGAAGATTGGCAGAGGAACTGGAGACCTGGCGGTGATGTCTGTGTACTTAGTGGCATGAATGATGCTGCTGCCACACCTGCGCCTGATACAGTGGAGCCCAATGCTTCGTGCTGCATTAGGCTGCTGCCTTGGGAGTTGTGGGAATTATTTTTGGACATAATGAAATAAGGATGGAGGTTGTTTTTCACAGCTAATTACTTTTTGTCTGGGTGGTAAGCAGGAAGATCTTTTGACTTAATTCAGAAATTTTGGAGGTACCAAAAGAGACCAAGTGTTTTGGTACCAGCCCTTTTTGGTATCCTACTAAGTTCCAAGGGCAGATGTAATTCCATGTTAATTGGTAGGGATCTTCCCATCTTACATTCCTCTTCTCACAGGAAGCAAGGATTTTATGCTACAAGTGTGAACCATTAGACTTTTATCACCAGGCAACCACGTTATCAAGATATACATAACTATCCTACAGAACATGCTTTCTGTCTCAGCTACCTGCAGTATGATTCACTGCTCACACACAGTCCTGCATCTGCTGGGCAGCGGCTGCTCCTCCTCCCTGGGATCTGGAAGCACACCAGTGTCTGCCCGGCTTTCAGGTGCTGTTACTCCGTCACGGCATGGGATCATCACTACACAGCCTTGTTCAGGGGGATGGCAGGGGGTGCTGGAGGTTAGGTCTTGCTGAAGATGTGCCAGACAATCTCAGCTAACTGTAATTAGTGAGTGTAATTTTGTTGTTGCTGTCATCGCCAAACTGTGCAGGAGGTGAGGTTTGGTTTGTAATGACTCTCCTACCTTCTCTGGAGGGGGACAGAACCCCCAAACTTAAGAACGGGGGGCAGAAATCCTGATCTCACGTTAAATCTGTCCCTCAGAAACCTTTCAGTGGCTCGGCGCTAACTTTTCTGTTCAAGTGTCTCTGATTGGGTTGGTTTTTTGGGTTTTTTCCCCTCTATGCTGTTTTTTTTTTTTTTTTGTTTGGTTTCTTTTTTTTTTTTTTTTGCGAACGAAAAAAGCGTTCAGCAGGCTGAAGGGGCAGCAGAAGGCAAATGCGCCTGTGTTCACAACGAAGTTACACTCCGAGGGGGAGCGAGCAGGGTGCGGGGTGCCCCGGCCGCGGAGAGGGGCGCGAGCAGCGGCAGAATGCAGTGACCCGCTCCCGCGGCGAGCCTCGGCGCTCAGCTTTGCCCCTGAAACTCCGGAAGGAGGGAAGGGGATGCCGCCCGTACGGTGGTGCGGCTTTGGGGTGTGGGGCCGGTGGGGGGGGGTGTGGGGTGGAAAAAGACCTCGCAAGCGGTACTCTTACCCCCTCCATTTTTGTAGCAGAGGTACGGAAAGCGCCAAACGTTCGCCAGGTCCACGGCGAAGCCGATGACGGAGAGGAGGAAGTCGATCTTCTTGCCCCAGGTCTCTCTGTCAGGGGGTCCGTGTCTCGGGGCGGCGGGCAGGAGGTTGCTGCTGGTGTACTGCACTCCGTTGTGCTCCTTCACCAGGATCAGCTCCACGTCCTTCCGCGGCGGCGGCGGCCCCGCGCGCTCCGGCAAGGGGGCCACCACCGACACTTTGCGGTCGGGCTGGATCTGTTTGTTCATCCTTGCCTTAAACATCCAGAGAGAGCTAGCTGAGGAGGGGGAGCGGGCGAGCCGGGGTGCGGGAGCGCAGATAACGGAAGTGCACTTCCCGCTGGAGGCGACTCCGCCGCTCCAGCCCGCCGGTGTCAGAGCGGCAGGAGCGAGGCACGGCCGTAATAAGAGCCATGCAAATGAGGCGGGAGAGGGGGGACAGCTGCGCCCGCGCCAACCGGGGAGCCCCCGGGGAGCAGCGGGGCTGCCCGTGCTCTTCCTGCCTCTGCCGGCGAGCAGCCGGGAGCGGGAGCAGCGCCACTGCCCGCAGCCTGCCCAGGATAGCGGGCGCACCTGGACACCGCACCGGGCACCAGCGGCAGCCTCCCGACCTGCGCCGTGAGTTGCGGGACCTCTGCGCTGACCCTCCGCCAGCGGCGGGTCCACCTTGAGCTGGGCAGCTGGGCAGCTCGGGCTTGTTCTGCCGCGGGGCCCCGCTCGAGCAATCGGAAGATGCCGGTAGCGGGCAACAGGTAGAGCTAAACGGGACTGCTCATTTCTCTTTCCCGGCCGAGCTGCCGTACAGAGGCAGCTTCCCCCGGTCTGTTAGAGTGACCTTGGTTAAACCGTACAGAGGCAGCTTCTCCCTGTCTGCTAGAGTGGCCTTAGTTAAACAGTAGAATTTGGCTTTTGACATCAGGACCTGGCGGGGTGCAAGTTGACTGGCAGAGCTGGACGCTGCTGATGTTCCTATGCCAGGACGGATGGATGCCCAGCTTTTTGTTTCCTGGCAAGTGTGGGCCTGGTAGGATTCAGTTGTCACGTTGAAGTATTTGCAGGACGTTAACTATTTGCTGCTATTCCAAATGGGACCTGAGCCTTTTACATGTAAAATGAGCAAAAAAATTAGCTGGCAGAACAACAGGGATTAGTGCCAAAAGTTGGCTAAATACAGCTACAAAAATGGCTTTCAGGGGCTGTTCCTGTTACAGCTGTAAGCAGTAATTCTAGGTTCAGTCTCTGTTATGGGAACAAAATTTGAGCACATAAGGCAGAAATAGGCTCCCCTTCCCCTGTGTGAAGTAGCTGCCCTTCTGCCTGGTGTCAATGAGAAATAGGTTGGACTGCAGAGGATGCTTGGTGGTGATGCAACTTACTGCTCTTATTCTCTCTGCTAGGACTTCCTAGGACTGATAACAGAGGGTTATAATCATAAACGTGAAAAAGAGCCGCAACTCAGAGTTAAAGCTCACATACTGGCATCTTCCTCTTTCTCTCTTTAGGCCAGAGACTACAAAAATGCTAGTAAGACAGCTTTTGACAATTTGCAGATTTTCTGCCTTCACAAAAAGCTCTTGGTTCAAGGTCCAAGACCCAAGCTGTGACTTGGATCCTAAAGCTGTCATCTGGGTGCAGCATTTGAGCAGTGGCTGTACTGTTTCAGAGCAATTGGATGCGTAGAACATGCAGCTTATATATTCTCTATTGGTTACTCTCTGATTTCACACCGTCCTCTTCTCTGAATACACCTCATAAGACCATTTTCTCTCTTCTTTTTGACACCTCATGCCACACATGATGCAAATACTTCCCTGTGCACAGTCATTACATAGTACCCTGCAAACACTTGCTGTAAACCCCACGTTTTTACATCCATGTGCAGATACACTGCTACCTGTTCCTCATAACATCCCTGCCACCACATGCATCAAATACAGACATGTGATATGTGCAGTGACCCCACATCTGCCCCATTTCCCTGCTTTGCAGTGAGCATCACACCCATTCTCCCACAGCACGTAAAGGACAAGCTCTTCTCTGGGCATGAGGAGAGCCTCTGCTTCCCACTGCAGAGCCCCAAAGCCATCTTGCAGACAGACTCACCAGGTAGCACTGGGGGTGTCTCTGTCCCATTCCCTGGTACCTATGGGAGGGGGAAGATGACAGAAGGGTATTCCTCCTCCTTGGTTCCACCACTTGGGTACTGCAGTCTCTCTGGGAGCTGAGGCTGTAGCCTAGCCAGTAAGGAGCTTTTTAAACCTAGTTCCCCTCTCTCCACGTGACTATTACTGTCTTAATGATCTGCACAGACTTCCTATGCTAGACAACAGCACTCCCATATTGCTTCTGGAAAAAATAAGGCCTTGTTAAGGAGCACCTTTTTCCTCACAATGCCTCCATTAGCTGAGCTTGATCATGATGTCTATGGTGGGAGGAATCCAGAAAGCCCCCACTTATTTCCCAAGAGAATTAAGTCACTCTGCATACATATATATGCCTTTAGTACTTGCATGGGAAGTGTGTACAATCTGTTTAATGTAATATCTGCTGCACCCTCAAGGTAAGAAAGTCCTCAATTGGATTTTATAAAAAAGTTGCTTAATCTTGAATCTGTCTGGATCTCATTATGCCTAATGGAGCCTGACAGTGGGTAGAGTTGAAGTCAGAGAAGGGAATATTGTATACAGAAACCTCAATGGAGCCAGGTAAGTTAGCAGGGCGCTTGTGATATTCCATTGTTGGCTGGGAAACTGACTTTAGAAAGTTTAATTCACTATAATTTACTATAGATTTGACTTCAGAAAACAGTCAGGTGCTGTTAGGTTAGTCATCAATTATTCAAATTTCTGTCTATTATCCTCCTTGCAATGTATAGAAAAATTTACTGTGTGCTGTCACAGTAAGCTGGGATTGTTGCTCTCATATGTTAGTGTCTATGATGAAAATACCCCACCCTAGTAAACCACTATTTAGCATGTCCTTCCAGACCTCCATTTGCTGTTGGTGCAAAGGCTCACTGTGCTTGCTGTCAGCAGGGTTTGAATTCTCTCCCTTTGGCAGGACAGCTCTCTGCCACTGATGGTACAGAACTCCAAGAACTAGCTACTCTTCTTGCTATGAATCAGCTTTTGAGAAGGGCTGTATCAAACATCTGGAATATGTATTGGAACTCACTTTATGGCTGGTGCATTTCAGAGTCTTGCTTCATGTTATGTCTGATACACTTTTTGAAAGAGCTTGGCAGTTGAGCCAAACAAAATGGACTGAGAGTAGATATGATTGCTTTATTAATAAATCGAGGAAATTTTACCAAGAAAAATACCCATCACTATTTAAACCAAACGACAAAAGAATCATAATAAATTTGCTATCAAAGCAGTCAATACAGCAGGAACTAAGTACTTGGGGTTTAGGATACTGTTTTATGAGCAGCGGTGTATTGCTTCTGAGAGCTGGGACTTGGGCTTGAAGACCCAGGACAATCACTTTCTTATTATAATCCAAAATAAAATGAAAAGAGTAAAAAGGGGACAAGTGGTATATACACTAAATATTTAATTTCTCATCAGGTTCATCAGAAACTGAGGTCATTCTGGCCTTGGGGCTTATGGGTACTGAAAAACTAAATATTTTTCAAATGAGGTGCATAAGCTGAATGTAGTTAGTTTTGTTTATTCTGTGATAGAGGAAACTCGGGGAACAGCCAATTGCTGCAGGAAGTGGGAACAAAATAGACAACAGCCTTCTGCCTGAATCAATGCTAAAATGATTTCACAGTGATGGGAACAGTAGCAGGGGTACCCATCCTTCTAGGTTAGCAGGTAAAGGATGCCATGCTGTAGACTGTATCAGACACCTTTAATGACAATGGGTATGTCAGCTCCAGCTTCTTGGACTGTTACAAGTGGGTTGGGCAGGTTTTCTTCATAGTATCTCTAAAATCATATTGCCCTTCCAAATGCAGTGTTTACTTAGCATTTAAAAGCTTTGTGTTTATTGCTAGCAGGCTATTGACATAGTGTCTCTTCCATAAAGCCAAAGAAATGCATCTCTTTCACTGAGAGGGCCCATTTGGATTGGTCCAACCCTGCATGTCCACTGCCAGCGTCTGTCATGCTACAAACTGTCTTCAGACTGAAAATAAATATTACAAAAGCACTCTACAACGTTTTGGTATTCCACTTATGCAGGAATGTAAAGTTCTGGGGGAAAACAAGGTCTCTTCCTGTTTCCTACAATAGTAGCATTTGTATCTTTCTTACCAAGTTGCTTAGGATTGTCAATAACACACGGGTCCCAAGCTCATTTCATCTGGGATCTGCTACCCATGGCACCAGGTGACCTCCTTCAAGGGAGGCATCAGTGTCACCCAAGCAAGCTATCCCATAGCAACTTCATTGTTTTATCACACCTAGAATATCTCTGTGTGTAGAAGATGATGTTGAAGTCTAGGAGTTTTATCCCTCTCAGTTTCACTATTTTCCACCCTCTTTGGGCACACTGTCTTCACCTCTCTTAGGCCTCTTCCCAGCTTACTAGCACTTACTATATTTTAAAGTTTATAAATTTATTTTTGAACATTTCACACCAGTAGCAGTTAAGCCACAGCTTCAACAATATTCTTTATTGTTGTTTTGAATCAATAACTCTTGCTGCTGCTTTAGCATCATGTTTTTTTCTATCTCAGACATAGTTGTAATAGAGTAATTTGTAAAGCTGCATGTAAGTGGGGTGAAACTGGGAGCACTCCCAATTTCAGTCTAACTGGACTCTGCCCTCCTCACTTCATCTTGTCTTGTGCTAGCGAGAATCCAGGTGCAGGGTCCAGAAGGCAGCAAGAGCACACATCGACAGAGTACCTGCTTTGAGCAGTGAGAGAACCAGAACACTGTAGTCCATCCTCTGGGTTCACCTTGTCATGTGCCCAAGTGATCTTTCTCTTTTCTAGGTGGAATAAAACTTTCCTGAATAAAAATAACCTAGATTTTAGATGAAGTCTTACCAACATTTAGTGCAACAGTAGTAATTCCCAGACAAGACTCTAATAAGAAGGAGATCTAACTTGCCTCTTTCACACCTCATTACATATTTATCCACAGACAGGTTGTAAACACACAAGTCATTCTGCTTTATCATTTCTCTAATTCTGAAAGGCCAGGTTTAATGCGTAATTCTATTCACTTCCATCCCATTTCTGTTATTCGTGATTTTTTTATGTTTGTTTGTTTCCCCTGTGTGAGTACTTCACTGTTTAACATTGGTGGGCAACTTAATAATCTCCAAGTTTCATTAGCAAACATGAACTTTTGGGTGCATATTACTAATGAAATATTTAATAAGATCATTCCCAATAACAGATCTTTCAGGATGGGCAATATCACTCCAAGCCTGTAATTACCCTTGCAGCACAGCACAATATTATATCATCTTCAGTCAGTTCCTTTCCTGTCTTAACAATTCTATTTATCTCTCTCTCTTCTGCTCAGACTAACAATTACAAGTGTCATTGCAGCAGCTGCTTTTGTGAAATAGTGATAGATTAATATCTACCACATTTTACTTGCTTTTATAAAAGGCTGTTATCAGAATAAGGTAGCAGATTAATCTGGCTTCCTTTGGGAAGTTTGTTTTGTGTGTAGCAGTCTTCTGTGCTTATATTGCCTATGCGTAGAATTCGTGAAAAGTATTTTAACTTTGGAGCTCCATATGGTCATAGGATTATATGCCCTTCCAT